AGAACTAATAGAATTGTTAAGCCTTGTATGGGTTTAAGCTTCACACCTTAGGCACCAAATAAATCAGTGACTAATTTATTGTAGAAAATAACAAAGAATATTTCTGTCAAGGCACCAAACAGGAGGGAGATTTTACTACACTTTTTTATTATTTCAAATATAGATCAATGAATTACATCAAAACTACAGGCAACAATTAGTATAAATAATACTTTAATCAGTGGCAGCAAAACATTGGTCAGTTCTATTAAAAAAGCATCTCATGTGAACAGATTCCACCGGGCTGACTGACAATGTCATCTCACAACAAAAGGCTGCAATAGACAAAGTGAGATGGGGTCAGAGGAGCAATATCCTCAGCAAACACTTCATGCCTCCCCCCAGCCAGGACCCCAACACAGGTTTTAAAAAAACAAAACAAAAAAAAAAAAAAACACGATCGAGCAAACACTTCTGGCTCATATTTGGGGGAACAAACTGGAAACAAACAGTAGCAAATGGGGACTGGACCCTCCCCACGTCGAGCTTTCTCAAGAGCACGTTCCCAGATGGAAACTCATTTTCTGGCCCTGCTATGGGTGGTTGGAGGGCCCCACCTCTGGCCTGGCTGGATTTTGAGGACCCAAATGGATATCAGGGTCCAAGTAGGACTTTTGGGTTGGGATCTGCCTCTGGGCTGTCTAGGCTCCATTAACATTTCAAAAGACAATCCCTCTTTAGCTGAGACCGAGAGGTCAGACTTAAAAACAAAGAAGTTGTTTCTCTGATTAAGTTACTTTCCGAAGTAGTGGGACTATGATAGAGGAGGAACTGGGACTTTAATCTGGAAAACATCTCTCTCGGCTTTCCTCTGGGACAGGAGTGAAGGCAGGTAAGCAGGGTGGCATGTGATCTGAACCTGGGTGAATACCAGAACTTCTCATGAGAAAGAAAATCTATGTGATAATCTCCATAGTATCTATGTAGTTAGATATCACAAAAATAGACATCCTTTTCCTCTCCCAAGGAGAAGCTGCAATGTACACAGATTTGGGTTTTAGGAAAGAATTTTAGCAACTTTCCAAGCTGTCTAAGCATAGAGGCTCTTTTCAAATGCTAGCTACATCCAAAGACTGCTCTCCATGTTGGGGGGGGGAGGGTAGTTAGGGTCCAAAAGGTTAAGGGTTTAGAGGTCAGTCCTCCAGGCTGAAATACAGCTAATCGAATAGAAAATTTGTCCTCTGGATGAACCTGATTCTGTAATTTAGCCGAACTTCAGTAAAATACCTTTTCAGCTTCTCAACGTGAGGGCGTCACAAAAAAGACATCTTGACTATGTATGAACTCTGTGCTTTTTGTCATAGAAACAATGATGGGAATAATGCAGGAATATCCATCTTTAATATCCCGACGTGGCCATATTCAAGTATTGCCATGTGCAAGTCTGAGAGCCAGGCTCACCCCAAGGAGGAACAAAGAGCTGTCCCCTGGGTCTAATACAAAAGACCAAGGCTTGGAAGACACTTTAGAGAAGCGGAATTTCAGCCTAGGGACTCCAGTGAATACCTGCCTGTAGCTCTCAGGAGACCCAGAACCAAAGAACATGCCTGCAGAGAAAGTCACTCCCCCTTCCACTCAGTATATTTTAAAGATTATCATTGAAACCTTCTCAAGTGGTCTAAAGCACTGAAAAATAACCTCATTAGAGGTCTTAGAATTAAGTTTTAAGCTTACCACTTTTTCCTCCCCCTCTTTTGTCACTTTTTAGTAACTGCAAACAGAGGTTTCTTTCTTGGAGCCTGAGGTTTTGGGCTTCAAACTTAGGAAGACTTGTTTCATTTGAGTATATGAACTCTGGCGTTTCTCTTTTCCCCTATCCTTAAGGGTCGGCATTTCACAAAAATAAGCTTTGAACTCTTCCCAGACATGACATAAGAAAAATGACTAAAAACATCTCTCTTGTTGTTTGAGTGTTTTTAAATACTCAAACAACACTATTCTAAAGGCAAAGGAAGCCTGAAAATTTTAATACTTTTACAATTTCTGCTTCTAATTAATGGTTTGAAAAAAACTTCCTTAGTTTGTTTTTTTTTTTTTTTTTTTTCAAATTGAAACTTCAAGAAGGGAGAAGAAACCTACCAACTTCTGAGAACTTTAAGATTCAACTGGTTTCTTTTTAAAAACAAGATTTTTTTCTCTACTCACCTTCGCCCCATTGCACAGCTCCTCTCCTATATAAGCATACACTAATTCTTACAAAATACTTCTAGGAGGGTATTTGGGACATTTGGAATCCAGTTGCAACAGGAACCTCAGTCATTATCTGAGGACCCAGAGCATAGAGGTTTTGTTTTCTTTCCCCAAAAGGAAAATGTTGGACCATTTGTTTCTTTTTTGCCCTTTCCTTTAATCACCCAGAACTGGCTCTAAGCACAATGTTGAAAAAAAAATCACATGTGGAATTATATTTTCAAGAACTCAACTTGGAGTGGATCCTTCCCTTCTCTCTAAAAGGGTTAAAGGCCCCCAACACATATTTCCAGGGAGTCAGGAGGGGGTGGAGTTCAAAGTGCAGGTTACAGTCAGATGTAAGTCTGCACATCTGACTCAGTTCCCTGAAGCTCGGCCCATTCCACCGCCTTAAGATTTTTGGTATGAAGGTGTCAGTTATTCTGCACCCAATCTCCCAACAAATAAATATTTAAGCAAATATAATCTAAACATAAAACAACCCGTTTTCTTTTCTTCTTAAAACTTGTTTCTTTGGGCATGGGCCACTGTGAGCAAAACTTTTTTTAAAAAATAAATTACACTGGAAATTGTACAGACAAGCTAGAAATTCAAAAATCTTGGCCCAGCCATCCAGCTCATGTGGAGCACCTATGGTGGGGGGGGACAATCTTCTGCCTCAGCTCCCCACAATACCAAACCACAAAACTCTCCGGAGGGGTAGAGTGGGGGAGACTATCCAAATTCACACTGGAATAAAGCATCCAACCTTCATTTGCAAATTCAAAATCCAACAGCAGAGATTTTCATGAGTTTAATGACTCGCCACGGGTTTTATGTTCTCAGTAGCTTTAGCCATATGATAATATACTTAGAGAATCCCGCCCACCCCTCCCGCCCGCATCTCCACTTTAGGGAGGGGGCTGCCCTCGGGCAGGGTGCTAACCTAGTCCGAGGGCGGCCTGCAGGTCCCAGGTCCACCTCACAGTACCTTAGAGCCCAGCGAGGTCACAGCAGGCCCGGCCTGCCCCCGCAGCTTCGGCTCAGCCTGGAGCGCAGGGAGGGATGGGCCCAGGGTCCCCACTTCTATAAAGTGGTCAGGTCCATGTGGTGGTCCTTGGTCATCGGCTGCAAATGCTGGCCTGGGGCGGCTGAAGAGGAACAGGAAGAAGAAGAGGAGGAGGACGACGATGACCTGCCTTTAGTGTTGGGCAGCTTGTGGTCTTTTTTCCACTTCATCCTCCGGTTCTGGAACCAGATCTTGATCTGGCGTTCAGACAGACACAGAGTGTGAGCAATTTCAATCCGACGGCGCCGAGTCAGATACCTGTTAAAATGAAATTCCTTTTCCAGTTCTAGGACTTGCTGCCGAGTGTAGGCCGTCCGGGAACGCTTGGGCTCCCCGCCGGTGTAGTTGGGGTTCACTGTGAGACAAAACAGATGGCACAGCCAGGTCAGCACCCAGCCACTCTTTAGGCCCCCGCCTCTGCTGCTCACTTCCTGGCGTGTCCGAGGCCCGCACCGCCCAAGCTCTGGCTCCCTCCCTCCCTCTGCCTGGCTCACACCCCCACTCCCATCCACCCCTCAGTCCTACGCACTCCCCCAGGCTCGCAGCACGGGATCCCCAGATGTGCTCCCTTCCCGCTGGCCCACTGGGAGCTCCGAAGTCCCTAAGCATTTTGGAAAAGCCCTTCTCCGCATTCTCTCTGCTCGGGAAATGGAGTCCTCCCCCACCCACCCCATCCCCACCCCCTTTTGCGCCCACAGCCAAGCAGCAGCCACATGGTCCCGGCCTGCTCCCTCCGCTATAAAAATTTATGGGGAACACAACTAGAGTGCCCAAGAAAGCTCCGATGCCCCCAACCCCTGTCCTCCCCCCTCCTGTGGGCCCTGGGCAGCAAGCTGGAGGTGGGCGCAGAGAGGAGGCTGGCAACGTGCCTTACCCGAGTTCACGTGCACCTTCTTCATCCAGGGGTAGACCACGGCTGGCTGCTTGAGCGCTGTCCCTGGGGGCGGCTGCTTGGGGCCGCCAGGCTGGCTGCAGGCCCGGGCGCCTGGCAGGGGCGCAGGCGGGGGCGCCGGGCAAGGCTCTCCCGGGGTGCTGTAATGCCCGCCGGGGCCGCTCGCCTCCTGTCCCGGCCCCCGTGCGGGCAGTGCTGCGCCGGGCCCGGGCCCACCGCCTCCGAAAGGCTGCTCCCCGAAGTCGGGCCGCGGGTAGAGCCCCGGGGGCTGGAAGTCAGCGCCCTGTGCGCCGCTGCTGTAGTAGTCGGCGCCCTGCTCGCCTAGGTAGCCTCCCTGCAAATATTCCTCGCACGGAGGAAACTTGGGGTCCACATACTTAGAGTTCACCATATACGAACTCATGGCCATTAATTTCAGAAGGTAGAAAATACTAATTTTTCTCGTGTTGTCTTTTTTTCTCCTTCCATAGGGCCCTCCTACTTGCTGTCAACTGAATAAAGTTGGGCAGCCATGTGACCAGGCCAGCCAATGGGGAGGGAGCGAGTTTATCACCGGTTTGGTGAGCATCTCGTAATTTTCACAAATTTAACTAAATAACATACATGTAATCAAATGACTTGCCGTGCCACATTTGAGGGCTCCTGCGAGATAGGAATGCAGTTCTAATCTCTGTCTCCCCTATTTTCAGCAGGTAATCTCAGCTTTTGTCTCCACTGATTTTTGTTAACCTCTCCTGCCCTCTCCACTCACCTCGATGAAAGCACCCACTCAAAGTGAGCACAGTGCAAGGGAGAATGAATTTTTTTATTGGGTGCAAGGGGACAAAAGGTGGGTGGATGAGGTGGCCTCTGAGTTGGGCACTTTGCCTTCCTGGCGGCCCGAGCGGGGACTCTGCCATACAAAGACCAAGTCGGGCTTTGTCTTCATCAGGGTCACCCAAAAGTTACTAGAATCTGGCGGGCCTGAATTAAGTTAGGCAATGAGTAACCACCGTGCTTTTCTCCAGGTGCCCAGGCCAGGGGGTTGCTAGCCGAAGCTGGGCCTCACTTATGTGGCAGAGCCCAGGTTCTTGTGGCTGAGGGTTGGGCCCAGAAAGTGGTGAGGAGATCCTCACCTCACCTAAATGTCCCCCAAAGGTGCCTATGGCCCCTCTTCTCAGCTTGCTTTTGTCCTCCCACAGGGCCCCCCAAACCCATTGGGTCTATTTATACCTCATGCCCTGGGCAGGGCAGAGCTGTACCTGGAACTTGGGGGTCATCTGCCTCACCCCCAAGAAATCCCAAACCTAACCTTTTGGGCCCAGTATTCATGTAACCAGTTAGGGTCTCCTTTTGCTGCAGCAGCATCCACTGAAGCCTCTATTTAAAGGTGAAGAGCTTCTTGAGGAAAAGCCCGCCCGATGTCACCAGGGACAGTTGATCTTCCTGGAACACAGAGGTGGCTGGCCCATTCGGGAATCTCCACCTCCATCTCTTGCTATTTCGGAGAAATGTGAAGTTTTTGCATCGACCATATATTCCCCTAGAATCGAATCTGTGACTACGTGGACACCACACAAATTCGGTTCTACAGGGTATATATAGACAACGTTACAAGCTTCAGGCCGACCCAAGGTAGATACTAAGACCGCTGCCAGCCCTAGTCTCCTCCTCCAAACCACCACCAGCCCGACACAGCCACCCATGGTTTCAGGGACAGTTCAGGTAGCCTGACAAGCTTGATGACAATTTGCAGCAGCGAGTTCCCTCATTCTTTTCCCAGGGCGGGGGTTACAGAGCAGCTGAGCAGCAGCCAGGATATTCTTAAGAAAAAAAGAAGAAGAAGAAGAAGAAAAAATCCATCCTAGAGATGGCAGTTTTATTACTCTCCTCTCGGGATCCAAAACCCGCCCCCCCCCCATCAAGTGGTATTTTCCAAAGAGAAGAAATGCCCTCATCGGCAGAAAAAAAAGAGGCAGAAAGAAAATATCCTTTGCCTATTTTTTTTCTCCACTGCCTGACCAAACCAGGTTGGTGGCCAAGCTAGTTCTCCAAGAAGTCATGCATTTACCTTCCTGGGCCCTCAGCCGGGCTGGCTTCTCCATGTCCCCGCAGCTTCTACTGCAGACCCTGAGGCAGGCGCTGCTCCCAGGCACCAAGCTGCCCTGGTCTGAGGCCGGCACACTAATGGTGAAGGGCAGGGCGTGGGGTCATTGGAAATCATTTACAAACATATCACAAAGTTTCATTATTTTTGCTTTGCCGACAGCAGCACACAAGAGTACAAAAGTTCACTAATTTTGCCCGCCCCAGCGCATCTGTGCTGTCCAAGGCTTGCCCCTTAGTTCAGGGCATCCAGGGCGCAGCCGCACTCAGGAACCAGACAGATTTCAGGAGCAGAGGGATACCCTGGCTCCAATGGGGCTTTTGGATACCTGACAGTAGACCATAGAGGTCCAATTTTTAAAATATTGTTTTGATTCTCCTTCCTCCCATAATTCAAAAAATCAGTGTCAATCCGGGGCCTGGGTCTGGTGGGGGGTGGGACAGGAAGGCTCCCCCGACCAAGCCTGCAAAGTTGGCCACTTACTTCTCTTCAAGGCACCCACCCGTTCCCCTCAACCCTCTGGGTCCAGTGATTTAACTCTTTGCAGGGATTTTCAGGGTCCCAATTCTATGCCAAATCTGTTCCTCCCAGCACAGTCCCCCCCAGTTTCCCTAATGGCAAGTGTTTTTCCCCACCCACCTTTCTGTGGACACTGGGCCTACCTAGGCTTTATCTATACAAATTGGGGGAGCCTGCAAGGCTGGGTGGGGAGTAGGCAAGTGTACACATTTTCATATTTGTTAGACGCTGTGACCTGCATTTCACCTTATTGCTCGACTTGTTCAGACAGGTCAAAGCCAACGAGTTATTGATGAACAAAAGCGTTAAATATTCACCTCCCTCTCAACTGCCCATACTAATGCTTTTGATCTCTCAGGCTTTTTGTGCTGTGTTCAGCTACAAGGCGCCAAATGTGAGTTTGCAAGCAGGCAGCTTCGGCAGAGAGAAGCACCACCGAGTCAAGGCAGCAGGGGAAAAGGGGGTCCCAACCAGGAGGTCCTGGGGAAAACAGATTTTCAGCCCGGAGCCCAGAGCCTGGTTCACTGGAGCCAGCCTGGTTCACAGAGGGGGACTGTGCGCTGGGTGGATCTCAATTTCTTGCGGTGAGCACAGCCCTCAGAGGGTCCACTAGGCTACCCAGCCCTGCAGCGCAAAGAAACCTGGCCCTGAGCCTAGCCCCAGAGTCTCCAACCTGAAGAGGTGTCTCACAAGAGAGGAAGGACGCCTGCTTCCAGCAGCCCTGCACAACCATCTTCCTCTAAAATAAAATTACCTCCGTTTTGCAGGAGAGGGGCCAAGCATTTTTTCCTTGACTCTCCCACCCCAGTCACTGTCTTAATGAGATGGTCCTCCTGGAGGCCCCAAAGGCTTTCTCAGAAATGGTACCTGTCTTCCAAAGTACAGGCAACTCAGAAAAATTCAAACTTTGGAGCCAAGGAATCTAAGCGTTGCTGGTCCCACCCTATTCCACTCCACAGTGCTTCCTAGGGCATTACCGACTCTGGCGCAGAAATTCTTGAATTGCACTCCCGGAGCAGGAGAAGTAAAGAAGAAGAAGTGGCTTGTACCCTCTTTGCACTGCTCTCTCTGCCAGGTCCCTAACCCAGGGCCCATGCCGCGGAAGCTGGGGCGGGGGAGGGGCGGGGGTGTTCTAAAGCTCAGATTTGGCAACCCCTGGGGAATCCCGGCCAATGCAACAATGCAACGCTGCCAAGGCCATTGAGGGTTAAATTTTTGTTGTTTTTTAAATAAATGTTACAAGAAAAAGAAAACCATAGAAGGTTGGGCTAAACTGGGCCGGGTTAAGCCGGCCTGGGTCACAGAGGGGGTCGCCTTGCCTCGGGTTTGCTTCTAGGTTCTGGTGTGCTTAGGGTGGGCTGCACGCCCTTCAGCCAGGCAAGCGCTCCTGCGGCACTGCACCTGTGCAAGCTGGCGGGGTCTAGGGAGGCTGGGCAGGTCCTAGAAGGCTGAGAGCACAAGGGCGTGATCCCGACATGCTCCTTTAGGCAGGTGACTGTGAACTAGGCCCCAGAAAAGCTGCCTAGTAGTTGAGCTTGGGTCTCCACCTCCCCCAGAGGGCTCTCCTCGGGCGCGGGCCTGGCGGGGAGGCAGAACCATTGCTCACACGCGCAGCCCTCGCCCACCACTTCCCGGGAGGAGAGCTGCCTCTCCATTTGCTATTCTATTCGGAAGAAACGGGAAGGTACTTACACGATCGCTCTCTCTCGGTCCGACCTGTTGCAATGAAAAAGGAGGTCACTTAAATTTAACAAAATAATAACACAGAAATATATGACACGGAAAAATGACAAGGCCCAGACACCCTGCTTCCCTGCCTGGGAACGGTGCAAAGTTCTCCGTGGACTGCAGTTCTCCAGGGCAGACCCACAACCTGGGAGTTCCAAGCACATTCTTCCTCCTTGCCTCACACTCTTAGGTGAAACCCTCCTGGTTGTTTGGTGCTCTCGATTGCCTCTGACGGGGAAACCAGTGGGAAATCGGGAAAGGAGGAGAAAATGGGCCTTTGTTCATTGTCTTCTGCACAATCGGTTGGGTGGGTGCAGGTGCACTGGGATGGGGGTAGCTCGTTCATCTGCCCCCTTCCCCAGCTCCCCTGTTTAGCTCTGGGAGCAATTCAGCTTCCTTACCCCCCATTTTGGACTGGTTTCAAATCCTGGCTAAGGAGCCCTAACCAGTGACCCCCCCAAACCTTCCTTCTTCTCTTCCCAAAAGAAAGATAAGGTATGGCTGGGACTTGCATTCCACTTCTCCAATTCAAAACAAAGACCAATTTCCAGGGGTAAGTGAGGACCCAAATGATAACCAAGGAGGAAAATGAATGGGTTGAAGGGTAAATGACAATGCTTTAGAGGGTTATCTAGCTCTAGGGGCATGACATCAATTTTTCAGCATTGCTGGAGAACACACAGACCAATCTTACAAACTAGTAGTCCTCCCAAGGGTGAGTATCCAGGTTTAAATTTTTAGTCTTCTCCAGTTTTATTGTAGTATAGTCTTCTTTCTGAGACATCTGGGGCAAAGTCATCTCTACACTCAGCCCCACTGTTTTACTCCTCTTCTAAAGCGATGCTCTATGAGGCAGGAGAGAGAGAGAGAGAGAGAGAGAGAGAGAGAGAGAGAGAGAGAGAGAGAGAGAGGAGAAAGCCCTTCTTGTGAGATGAAAGCCCTTAATTCGCAATTCTCCAGATCCAGAGAGAAAGGAAGGAAACCAGGATACCCATTTTAGGTATTAATTTAGGTTCAAGGCAAAATTGAGTTACTTCGGTGACACTTCCCCAAGAAGAAAAGTCAAGACAGAAAAAATTCCCATCTCTGGAGTTGTTGCAGAAAAAGTAATAAGTGACTTACTGGTTTTCTTTCCTAGTGGGCAGGGGAGCTGGGAGTATAACTGTTTCCTTCTGAGCCGGGAGCTGTCTGGAGCCTCTCACTTTCCTATCGCTGCTCCAGGATCCCAGCATCTGCACTTGTATGCTCTTAACCTAATTTATGGTGGGAATTATATTTTGGCTTGTCAACTCTCGAGCCATAAAACAAAGTTTATTGGAATCACGTGCTCCTAAATAGCCACTCAGGTTTCATCTCTGCAGAACCATAAATAACCTTTGGCTTTAAACTTTTATTCACTAAATAAAGGTTCACTGCAACTGTTCCCTCAGATTTAAATAGTTCCAAATATCCAGAATGCAAGGGAGGTCATATTCGTATCAATAACCCAGGCTTTTTAAATAGCATCTTTTCAGAGAAGACTGCTTCCATTGGGAGATAGTGCTATTTGGAAAAGGCTGGTTGGTGGGCAGGTCTTATGATTCTTTGGCTGCATTCACTGTGAGTACCATCCACTTTATTTCAATCATTTTCTAGCTTCAGATTTGATAAAGAAGAAAGTCCAAGGCCTCTTCATGTTTATGTTACAAGTTGGGAATTACTTGAGATTTTATGCAAGTTTCTATGGAGAAAGAGTGGCTAGGGAGAGGCTGGGTGGGCTTGGGGGATGGGGTGGCAGTTGGAACTAACAGTTGGCTTCCTCTGTATTGTTGTGGATGGGCTTGGTGGAAGTTAAGATAACCACATGACTAGAGGTTTCTATAATTTGTTTAGATCTGAAAGAGAAGTCTTTCCAAGGGACCAAACTGCTTAAAACAGCAAAACTTAGGGCTTGGTGAAGTGAGAAAGTAGAGAATAGCCCATCGGAATCTCTGGCAACTGCAGCTCTAAAGAAGGTTATAAAACAATAAAACAGACCTGGTGTGAAGGAGAGAGGGTGTGAGGAAGCAAATGAGGCTCCCAAGGAACCCAAGCCCAGGAAGTCAGATGTCCCCTCTTCCCCCATGCCCGCAGCCACAGCTTCCAAGTCCCTGAGTGTCCAAATCTGGACGGGGTCTCGGGAAGGCTCCTCTGTCACTGCTATGCCTGTCAAGGCAGATGCTAAGAGAGGAAAAGAGTGTACCAGGGCCAGGTGCCTGCTGAGAAAACCAGGAAAAGGCGCTGCTGCTCAACAGGAAAATGTCCTGGGGCAGGAGGGCGAGCTGGGGGTGGGGGAAGATGTCCCCAGCTCCACTGAGGAGCAAAATTAA